GATAGAGATACTTTGGAAGAAGGTCTGAGAAGAGTTATTGGCTTCCACGAGACTCGTAGGCTAGACCGGTCTTGATTGGGGCTAGCAAATAAGCAATTATGATGCACAGGATAAATTGGCTCGGGGCTGGAGTAGTAGAATGTCAATGCAGGGACTTTGGACAATGTGCCTGATGTGACGTGAGACGCTCGTGACCGCGCGAAAAGGCGCCACGCGACTGTGGGTCCTTGCACGAGATCGTCCCGCCAGATCGGAATTCCAACAGGGGAAAGTGCGTCATCATTCCAGCCATCTAGCCTCAACCTTCACAAACAAGTCGCACCACGCCTGTCCCCATGTCACGATCGCGTTAACGACAACTAGGCATCAGAATGCCGCCCATCCTCTCCCGAAAGCGCTCGCGATCCGCCTCACCGCAAACAGAACCGCCACCGAAGCGTGCGCGCGCTCGCAAAGCTACTGCACCCACGCGCAAAGGCAAAGAGTCTGTCTTCGAAACCCTCGACGCACCGCCAAAGGCCAAGCTCACGCTGGCCCAGACCAAAGCCCTGTTGGAACAAGAAGATGATGACAGCGAGTTGTCAGAACCGGAGAGCAGCGAAGATGATTTCGAAGATGTTCCGCTGAACGGCGCAAGCAAGGGCAAAGGCAAGGGAAGGGCGACAGCTGGTGGTGATAGCGACGAGAGCGAAGCCGACGATTGGGAAGATGCGCTTGGTGCGCAGAATAACAATAAACCAGACCACGGTCCTGCACCCGTCATCACTGGCGACATCGCCCTCACCCTGTCCGCCGCGCCAAAGACCGCCTTCGACTCGAAATCGGAAGGACAAAAGGGCGCATCCAAGATACAGCGGCAAATACGAAATGTCACACATTGTATGCACGTACAGTGCCTGATGTACCACAATCTCATAAGAAACGCTTGGATACAAGACAAGGAAGTGCAGAAGATACTAGTGGAAGGCATGTCGGCCGGCTGCTGGCGCGAACTGGAGAGGTACTGGGATAACGCCGGAATCACAGACGGCCCTAGTCTTGTCGTTGTGCAGAGGGCGCCGAGTCCTCCACCCAAGCAGGTGACGAAAGACAAGAAGGGTACATGGAAGAACAGCGGAAAGAACGGCGTCAAAGTGTACGAAAGCCCGCACAAGCGATCATCTGCTCGCGAAGACAAGAAGAAAGCTCCCGTAAGCAAGGGCAAGGGCAAGGGCGATGCCAAAGGCGCCAAGAAGGGTCGCGATTGGAACGCGACATCTGAACCACTCGAGCCGAAAGCCCCAAACATGTCAGCTGGGGATCCTCTACTTCGCCTCCTCAAGTATCTCTCTGCTTATTGGAAGTCCAAGTTCCAAATCACAACTCCGAGCCTACGCAAACGCGGCTACCTCTCGCCATCGACGCTAGAAGCCGAGATCAATACCTGGAGGGAGGACCCCGATCATCCCGATACTTTTGGCGAGCGAGTGGAGAACTTAGAAGCATTTCGCGACAGAGCTCGTAAATGTGAGGGGAGCAGGGACTTGGGAGAGCAATTGTTCACCGCTTTAGTACGAGGGCTCGGCATCGAGGCCCGCATGGTAGTCAGTCTACAGCCAATTGGTTATGGCTGGAATCAGAGCGAAGAAGGAACGCCTAGGAATCTGGAAAAACTGAAGGATGCAAAACCTGCCGACAATAACACGCCTTCGAAATCAACAACCACAAATGGCAAAGCAAAACCTCCCGCCGCTACGAATAAGGGTGGTAAAATGGCCGAAGTTGACCCGGATGATAGCAGCGATCTGAGCAGTGTCATATCTATCTCTTCGGGATCCGAAGATGAGCGGCCTGTTAAGAAAACGCCAAAGTCACGCAACGTCCGCGATGAACTGCCATTTCCGACCTACTGGACAGAGGCCATTTCTCATCTCACCCATACACCTATAGCAGTTTCGCCGCTTCCCAAGGCAATAATCGCGAGTGCGGCGTCTTTAGACAAGTTCTCTGAGTTCTACGCTCGCGGTGGAACGGCCGACAGGGCGAGGCAGGTATCGGCCTACTTCATCGCTTTCTCGTCTGACGGCACAGCAAAGGATGTCACTGTAAGATATGTACCCAAGTGGCCTGGTCGGACAAGGGGTGTCCGCATGCCTATTGAGAAGATACCCATACACAACAAACGCGGCAAGGTCAAACGGTGGGAAGAGTGGGACTGGGTGAAGTCGCAAATGCGCCCCTATGCACGACCTCACGACAAGCGTCAGCCATGGGATGAAGTTGAAGATGAAGGTGATCTTGTCTTGGTAGAACCAGAAAAGAAGAAGGAAATGCACGAAGGCGGAAAGGAGACGCTACAGGGCTATAAGACCTCCACTGAATACGTGCTCGAGCGCCACCTGCGTCGCGAGGAGGCACTCATACCCGGCGCCAAGATCGTTCGACATTTCACCTTCGGCACAAGCGGCAACGAGAAAACCGAGCCGGTATATCTGCGAAAGGACGTTGTAAACTGTAAGACCCAAGAATCCTGGCACAAAGAAGGCCGAGAGGTACGTGAGGGTGAACAGCCCCTCAAGCTCGTACCCAGGCGGGCTGTTACGGTAACACGTAAACGCGAAATGGAAGAGCAGGAACGTCTTGAAGGTGAGAAAGTGAAACAAGGTCTCTTCTCTAAAGCGCAGACGGACTGGATCATTCCTGATCCTATTGTTGACGGCAAAATCCCGCGTAACTCATACGGAAACATTGACGTTTATGTGCCCACGATGGTGCCGAAAGGCGCTGTTCACGTTCCACTCAGGGGTACGGCGCGCATATGTCGCAAACTTAACATAGACCACGCGGAAGCGTGTACCGGGTTCGAGTTTGGAAAGCAACGCGCTGTGCCTGTAATAACCGGTGTTGTGATTGCACAGGAGCACGAGGATATGCTCATTGATGCTTGGGAAGTTGAAGAGGCAGAAAAACAGCGGAAAGAGAGAGAAAAGAGGGAGAAGTTCCTATTGGGACTTTGGAGAAAGTTTGCGAGTGGACTGAGAATCGTGGAAAGAATGCGAGAAGAGTACGGTGAGGATGTCGAATTGCCAGCGAAGGAAAAGGTGGTGTCACCCGAAGAAGATGGTGGGGAAAAGAAATCGCAATGGGAAGTGTTTCAGAACCATACCGATTTCGAGGGCGGTTTCATGCGCGGCGATGGCGCTGATTCTGGCGGTGGCTTCGTACCTGAACGGACGCACCAGAGTACACAACACGACGATGACATGGCTGGTGGTTTCTCACCAGCAAGTCAAGACGACCCTGAGCACGGGGATCTAACCATTGAACACGGCGAAAAGAAAGACATGTCACGCGCGCCTATGGCGGAAAGTACGTATCGCACACCGATCTCCCTCACGCAGGCGCTTCAGCAGCCGCCCAGCGAATCTAGCGAGCGTCCTGACGAAGATGCGGACGAGGATATGGACGCACCTGAACCTCCAGAAGACGAATACAGCGACGAAGAAGACGAAGAGGATGTGCCTCAACCAAAGTCCACTCGTCGCAAGTCGACCACCACATCTTCAGCTCGTGGTCGTGGACGTCCACGTGGTCGCGGAGCCAAAGCCCTGACAGCGTCCACGCGAAAACGTAAGTCTACGTTCATAGAATCAGGGTCTGACAACGACACACCCTCTGGCGCTCCTTCCGACCCACCAACACCACCGCCATCTACGCGTTCAGCGCCGAGGCGTAAGGCAGCCAGGAAAAGTGACGCACAAGTCAAGAGCCACTTCTTTGCCGAAGGAAGCGATGGTGAGACGGATATGACGGATATGACTGAGCGGAACTCGCCAAGGAAGAAGACGGCTGCGACACGAGGACGCGGGAGTGGCAAAGGCAGAGGGAGTGGACGGGGAAGAGGTAGAGCGGGGAAAGCCAAGTAGCAATACGAGAGTAGGGTATTGACACTGAGGCAGACGTGCAAAATCACTCGAGCTAATCTTGAAGATACGGTCAGAGGGCATGAATTCTGTCAGCCTACACTACCTAGGTAGGGCTAGGCCAGTGAGACAGATCTCACGATCCGCCTGTGCCAGTGCGCTTACCTCATCCGATAGCGTGGCGGAGCCCCGATCCGACTACCACATTACATCATCTCTTCCCCAGATTCCTCCCACATGCGCAAAACTCCCGAAACTCAAAAGCGCAAAAATGCGAAAAACTTCAGCGTCAAAAAATCAATAGCAACTAAGTATTGCCGCATCCAGAAGGCACTCGCGAGTCGACGCCATGCATGCAGCTCTGTTTTTAGAACAGCCCAGCGTCGCTAGGTGCGCCTGGGCAAGTCTTGGTTCCGCCGCTGCATCCTCCCGAATCTTGGCAAACTTCTGTACCCGACTTTGCCCCCTAACTCCCTCGCCCGAACAGTCAGCTTGTTGAAGCCAAGGTGCGCCGTCGCACAGCTGGGAATTGCTTCTTTATCGCCGTTCTTATCGCGCTGGGAGCCCTCCTACACCCGGTCCCTACATGAATGACAGCATGACAGCGGCGGCAATTCGATGGTCCGGCAGTGCTAACAGTGTTAGCGATGCGTTGTTGGGGTTTGCCTGCAGCACTGTTATCCCAATCGTACGCCAGAGTACGGTAGCCATGCTCTGGGCGCGGCCCATGTGGGAATCTCCCCCAACATCCCGAGTGCCACGCCCGCCGTCTCCTTCGTATTCGTTCTGAGGTGTGCCGGCGCGAGCGCCTCTTGGCTATAATGCGCGATGTTTGATCTGCGATACCTAGCTCGCACGCTCATTAGTTGCCAGAAACGTCATGCTCTCCGGTCTTTTTCTATCGATGCGTCGAGATGTGTGCATGGGGTTGGCGTTTATAAGTATATTGCTGCTGCTGTTGTTTTATTTTATTGCGCCCCGTCCCTACACCGGCCTTTATCAGTCTCTCACTTTGCCAATCTTTTCCTTTGGCAGCTGTCACTCGCTTTGAAGACTTTGACTTTGGTCTTATTGTTAATTATCTAATTTTTGGGAAAGATGCGCTTCTCCGAGTTCCTTACCGTCGGTGTTGTGGCGCCTCTTGTGGCTGCTCATGGTGGAGTCCCAGGGGCACCCAAGATGTTTGGCCTACCGAGAGACTTGCAAGCCGACTTTAAACCTCCTGTCGCTGCTCGCGTGCTTCGACACCCCGCTCAGCCAAGGGATGGCATGTTGGAAACCCGCCAAGGTGGTCAGAACGGCCGTTGCGGACCCAGCTTCGCCAACGCCAAGTGCGCTGCGGGCTACTGCTGCTCAGGTGCCGTATGTTGATCTTAGATCTTGAACTGTTACAATAGCTGACTCGCTCTAGGGATACTGCGGAACGACCAAAGATCACTGCCAAGCTCCTGACTGCTTGATTGACTTTGGCCCGGCTTGCGACGCCAACAAGACACCTGGTGGAGCCAGCACACGCAACGACCCCCGTCCTCAGAGGGGCAGCGTCGCATACGGAGGTGGTGGTGTCTACGCCTGCAAGAAGGCTGGCACTGTCGCCATTACCTACGATGACGGGTAGGCTCATTCACAACCCCACGTATTGATAGCACGACTAATTAGCATCCAGCCCATACATCTACACCGACCGCGTCCTCGACCAGTTCGCCACATATGGCTTCAAGGCCACATTCTTCGTCACGGGAATCAACCTCGGAAAAGGCGCAATCGACAGCACAGCGCAGTGGTCCAACGTGATCAAGCGTATGGTTGCCGAAGGTCACCAAGTCGCATCCCACACATGGTCTCACCAGGATCTTAGCCAAATCACCGATGCGCAGCGCTACGACCAGATGGTCAAGAACGAAATGGCCATTCGCAACATTATCGGAAAGTACCCCACATACATGCGTCCTCCTTACTCGTCTTGCAACGACGCTTGCCAGGCAGTGATGAAGAACTTGGGATACGTAGTCAGCTACTTCGACTTGGACACGGATGACTACAACCAGCTATCCAACATCCAGGTTGCCAAGAACAACTTCAAGAACAAGATTGATACCACCGTTGGTGGTCCCGCCTCAGGTCACCGCCTCGCTATCGCCCACGACATCCATGAGCAGACTGCTCTCAATCTTACTGGTTACATGCTCGAGTACCTCAAGTCAAAGGGCTACCGCGGTGTCACCATGGGCGAGTGCATGGGTGAGCCCGAGGCGAACTGGTACCGTACTGCCACCTCCGGCGGCTCTACTACCCCTCCTACCTCCGGCGGCGGTGGCAGCGGCAGTGGTACTGCTGTTTCCACTGACGGATCTTGCGGCTCAGGCAAGGGAACGTGTGCTGGATCTACCTTTGGCAACTGCTGCTCTCAATACGGCTGGTGCGGATCATCCACTGATCACTGCAGCGCTGGCTGCAACTCTGCCTTCGGAACCTGCACTGGCACTGGTGGCAGCGGTGGCGGCTCAACCACCCCCGCCCCGACCAAGAAGGTGTCTACTGATGGCACTTGCGGAACTCAGGGTGGTGCTACTTGCGCTGGTTCAACATTCGGTAACTGCTGCTCGCAGTATGGATGGTGCGGATCTACTTCAGGCCACTGTGGTTCTGGATGCCAGAGCGGATCCGGCACTTGCAACTAGAACTTCGTTCATGAGAGGAGCATTTAGACCTCACTCGTGTAGAAGCGATGCTCATAACGCAGCTCTATATGCGTGTTAATATATGAAAATAATACAAACAAATACACATACTCTTACAACTCCTGACGTCTGCGCAACTGTGATCATTTTGAGGAATGATAACATATAGTCAATTCGGAATAGTATCCGGAACGTGGTCGAGATATGTGAAGATGGCGAAATGCACTTCGCAGCGCACTCTTGAAGTGTTCGCATATTTCACCGACTACATCGTCGTGGCTATTGCAGCAATGGAATTCAAGAGACTGATCACAGGTAGTCTATGAAGAGCAATGTCTACATCTTTTCCGCAACAGACTTGTAAAGACCTCTTCGTACGCACTATAGCAAAAGTGCAGCGAAGAATTACCACCCATCCATACCATCAAGCACTTATTTTGACTATCTAAGTCCCCGACTACTCCTATCGGATACCATGGCGTTAGCGGTACTTCCAGCGATCATCGTCAGTTTTGTAATCGTCGTGGCATCGCTCGGTACATTCTACATTTACAGGGCATACAGGCGCGTGCGCTATGCAGTCCACGATGTGGAGCGCAGCCGCCATATCGAAATCGCCGGTCTCTCGCAACAGCGGCCCACCGAACTACGTGATCTCGAAGGTCCGCGCAAACAATATCATAGCGGTCAGTGGTACGGCTCCGAGGGTGTAGTTCCCACACACGTCGCGCCGGCCGCAAAACCACTGCCACATCCTCCGGGAATTGAGTACTCAGGAGGTGAGGGGCTTGTCAGACCTCCTGGGCGAGTCTTTCTGTCCACTGAGGTACAGCAACCCGAGCTACTCTCTCCAAAGCCTGTGCGCACGGTGACCAAAAGGCCGAAGATAGAGCCTGCGAGTACTGCATATGACTCAGATCAAACAGCAGCGTCAGAGATATGGAACAAGATCGAGAAGGGCGAGCTAGAACCGTCACGGCGTAAGGCGCAGAAGAAATCACCAAAGAAACCGAATGCACCAATACCCGAAGTACTCCGAGATCCTTCAGAGTTTGAACGCGACACCATGACAGATATCGATATCGATAGTAGCACCAAAGAATGGGCAAAGCCCAATCGCCCCGCGCTGCCATTCACACCACGCTCAAATAAACGCGAGTCGTCTGACAGCATGGCTACGATTGTCGAGACCAATAACGCGAATATTGAACGCCCCCAGTCATACGTCAAGCGTAAACAAAGCATTGGCACAGGAGCGATCAAGCCGACTGAACCGCTAGATCGAGCTGCAGAGGCGCGTCGCCAGATGGCGGAAAGGAAGAAGCAAATGGTGGAAAGACAGAAGCAAGAGGAAGCTGATCGTCTAGCAGAGGAACAAAGGCTGGTAGACGAACAAAAGCAGCGCGCAGCTGAACAACAGAGACTAGCTGAAGAGAAGCAGCGACAGGAAAACGAGGAAAAGGCCCGCTCACTGGCACAAGTTTCCGATGACGAAGATATCGATCTGGACGATAAGAGGCCCTCTGACTCTCAAAGACCGCGCACTCGCCGGAGATCCGACTCTTCCTCCAAGTCGAAGCGTGAGCGCAAGAGTCGTGAAACGTTGCTCACAAGAACTCCCAAGCGAGCGTATACCTTCGCGAACGACGCTTCCGATGGTATCGACAACCCCAACACGGACGAAAAGACCAGTAGCAACAGTAAAGGAAGCTCTAGGAGCATGAGTATGAATGATCAGGCAAGGCCAGACTTCAACGCGACCATGCCGTCAATTGCCGAGGGAGCCCATGTCGACCCTTTCTCTGACAACGCAGCAAGACGGTCGTACGGCTCCATCAAGAAATCTGTTTCGTCAATGTACTCTCCCGATCACATTTCATTAAACGATGGCGAAGGAAACTACACCTCGAGGCCTGCCGACTACAAACGTAGGGCCGCGCCTGAAGACACACTGGAGAACCCGTTTGCCTCTGACAACGACCCCCAAGACCCCTTTGCGACAGCGCAGAGATCATCGGCTGCGTCAAGCAACGACAGTCGAGTGTCATTCTCGCAAGTACAGCGAAGATCGAACGCCTCCAGCAATGAGAGCAGAAACAGCTCAGGTACAAATTATCCCAAACGCAGCGACAGTAAAGCTAGCGCAAAGAATCGCGCTTCTGTGGATAGCCAAAGCAGTCAGCAGTCGGCCCGCGGCCGTGAAAAACCTGAACGAAAGCCATCTGTCGCATCCCGTGCATTCAGCAAGATCAGTCGTAAGTCTTCATCTTCGGACAAGAAAAAGGAAAGGGACTCCGCGAGCTCGACACAATCTCGGGAAAATGAAGGGCCAGGATTGCGGGGTGGAGGAAAGATGTACGTGGAGGAGCCGGAAGAGCTGTCATCGTCAGAGGATGAGCATGAAGACAGAACCAAGCAAGAGCATAAGGTGAAGAACGGGGTGGAGATGCGCGGCGGTTCAGGAGAAAAGGACGAGAGCGAGAGTGAGGTTGAGGTTGAGACGGAGCACGAAGACGAAAGCGACGCTGCCGAGCTCGGAAGTTCGGAGGACGAACATTCGGATGCGAGCTCGAGCGATGAGGACGAGATCGCGAGCGAGAAACACGACTCCTCCGAAGACGATGATGACGCGTCGGAGGATGGGGGTTCGGAGTACGAAATCTCTGATGCTGGCACTTCCGACGCCATTACTTCGGATGACGAATCTGAGGAGGAGGTCTCGGATGATGAGCACGGCCAGGTACTGAAGAAACCGATTGAGGTCGTGGGTGTCCAAGCTATGAAGGTGGGCAGGGTCAAGGCGTGATGCATCGATGGCCGTATTTTCCTTTCGGGGTTCCGCAGGCGTGACTCTCTCTTGCGCTCTTCGCACATATCTGTATTTTACTTGTAGTCATGATAATGGCTGATACCTGTGTTTAATTCATTGTTCATGTAAAAACAGCATCCATTACCTCGCCTCCTACTCTTGATAGGAGAGAAGATGCACACATGAGCTAATGATCTAAAGGATACTCGCACCTCATACAAGAAAAAAACTAAACAGGCCTACAGACTACATTAAGACTAAAACCTACAAAGTAGGTAAACTAACAGCAACGTAGGCTCTAGGGTGTTTAGTTTTTTCCTAGATTGGCGTGCTCGTGGCGACTGAATTGCTTCATATTGCTCATATTGCACGACCTCATGTGCTATCTCTAGACACGCTCGTCCAGTCCCCAATCCCCTCATCATAGATCAAACGAAAGTACACTGTCACATTCAAGACGACTCATGCAAGAGGACAATGCAATATATTCCCAGAATGCCCATACCCATGCTACCAAATGCTAAATCGACCTGGTATCCCCAATCTTGCCCAATCCAGCCAAAAGCAAACGCCTGAAATGGAGACATCACAGCCTATCCCAAGAAAAAGTCAATCGTACATCATGAGGTAGTGCCTAGATCATGACATACAACGCCCGCCCGCCAACCGAAAAGAAAACGCTCATGTACCAATGACCCGGAAAATCGCTAACAAAACAAGGGAAGAAGGAAGGAAGGAAGGAGTTGAGAAGGAACGAATACACACATGAGGATTAAAAATAATACTAAAGACTCTGGTATAAAAACAAGGCTTAAAGCGAATGCATGTTGATGGAAAGGAATAGAAAGAAAAGGTTAACGAAGGGTCTCAATATCAAACTTTTGGTCCTTGCGAACCGTGACCTGTGGTCTTCTTCTGCTTCTGCTTCTGATGCTCGCGTGTGTAATCAATGGTTTGGTCAAAGAAAATGGAGTGAGTGAGGTAGTCGGAGAGATCGTTTGATGCTTGTTTAGCGTCATCGTCATCGTCGTCTTCGGCTGGTGATAGGTAATCGTCGTACGAGGGATCTTTCGCTCGCTTATTCGATAGCTTATCCTTGGATGACGAACTGATGGTATGTGATTTCTTGGAGGTGTGTTTGGCGTCGGTCGAAACAATATCCATAGAGTCAACAGCTTTTGGCCCTGCGTACGGACTGCGTCTACTAGGCGCTCGAATGGTAGTGTTTGAGTTCTTCTCTTCTAGAGCTTTGTCTTGGACGTCTTCAACGCTCAGCACGTTTGCCGGTCCAACGCTCGGTATTGGCGGAGGTGGCATCGATGCGCGCGCCTGCTTCTGCTTATCCTGTTTGCGTGGGGATGCCGGGATGGTGAATATGGGAATGGGCTCCGGCTTGATCTGCAACTCGGCTGCCCGCACGCCGTCACCAAACTTGGGGGCTCCTTTCTCATCCCAGAGTCGCTCGTCGATCCTTGCCTCATCTTCACTAGTGAAGTTCAGGTCCTTGATGCTCTCGTCAAGACTGTGGCGTATCCGCTCGCTTTCAGACGATACCCGCTCGGAATCTCCGAAGCCTGAATCTTGATGCATTGGCATACGGTACCCTTGCGCTATTGAGAAGCCCGTGCCAACTCTGCGTGAAGGTTCTGGACGATCGAAAACAAAGGAGCCGGTGCTGACGCGCGACGGGGGGGAAGTATTGGAGGCGGAAGAGTCCATAGCAACGTCGTATTCCAGGTTGGTGAGCACCCCAGAGGCAGGAATCTGGAATTTTCGACCTTCTTCGTAGCCCGGCGAGGCATCTGAATCTAAGTATTCTTGATCTGGATGTGTCTGTGCCAGTTCGTGTACGCGAGTGCTAAAGGAGGCCTTGTTGCCAAACTCTCGATGATCCTGATCAGACGATCCTTGTGCGCTGCTTCGCATAGAGTGTGGCTGAAGTCCACCAACAAACGACACGCTCAGCGGAGTGTCATCGGCCGGCCTGCCCCCAAGAAATGAACTCTCCATCTCGTTTGGTGGACTTGTGATACAAATGTCTTTCGGCTCTTGCGTGACAAAGTCATGGACGTCAAGGTCGGCGCATCCTCGCTGAACAAGCTTGGTATCGCCGTCAACGTAGATCTGCTCCCACCTCGTTTCTCTACTAGCTGGCAGGCTTGCAAGCTCATTCTCGAGCTCTGAGTCGTCGAGCGACATCACGGACCGGTGGCCGGGATACGGCGAGTATTCGCTTCGTCTGTTTCTCTCGCTGATGCTCAAGGGGCCAGGAGACCGTCCACGGTCGGAGCGGTTGTCGGGAATGATGTATGAGCCAGAGGATGCGGGGTATTCTGTGCGCGGTATGTTGATTTCCTCGAATGACGACTGCTGTCTGGAGTGGCGGCGGTGTTTGGATATATCCTCGAGGTCGACTGCCGTCCTGGGGTCGATGTACTCCTTGTCACTTCGATGTGTAGAAACACTGCTTCTTATGGCAGCCTTGGGCTTGAAGTCCCGGTCTAGTATATCGTCAGGGAATTTCTGGAGCAGGCTTGCTGCTGACGGTCTCCCTTGGGGGGAGTCGCTGAGCAGGGCTCTGATAATATCGCGGAAGTACACCGGTACATCTGTATTTGGTCGATCGAGGGTGCGCGTTAGTGGTCGCTGTTGGCGCTCCGGCTCGTCTTGCAATTCGGCCAGCGCCCACAATACCATGCCCAGTTGAAAGAGATCTGACTTGACGCCGATGTATATTGTTACACGCTGTCCGCTTTCGACCAGCCTAGCCAGCTCAGGTGACTCCCAGCCGACAGGGCAACCGCGACGGTTGATATCGATGATCTTGGCGTTGTCGTCGTTGTCTATGACAATGTTTGAGAGGGTGAAGTCGCCTTGCACAAATCCAGCTTCATGAATCTCGGACAGACCCTCGACGATTTGTCGTGCCCACCGCTCGCGGCGTTCCCAAGTGAGTTGGCCCATGGGCTTGTATTGGCTTGTGGGCTTGAAGTCGTAGATGACGTCCACCAGCGCGCCCAGCTCGGCATAGCTAATGAGTAGCCCTTTGATGAGCTCGTTCTGCTCATCGACTATGACGCCTTCGAATCTGATGACTGACTTGGATTCTTGCAGGCTGACGAGAGCGTTGATCTCATATAAAAACTCCTCGACCGCGTCTGGACCCGGGATCTCCTTCTTAATGTACGTATTGTTGTTGACGGAGACCTTGTATACGAAGCCTGAGATATGAGAGTCGAAAGAGATGGCGCTCTCTCGGAAGCGCTTGCAGTCGAGGTGTTCGATGGCTGACGTGGGCGGGTACGGGATAGCCTCGTTAATATCCTCGGTGACGTGTACATGGAGACGACCGTCGGCAGTTTCGAGCTTGAGGTTTGTAACGGTGTCGTAGAATTGGATATCGGGTAGGGAGTCGCGGATGGCTTCGTAGATGCGCTTGCTCTTGTCGCGTTGGTAGTGCATCGTCTTGAGATCCGCCTCGAGTGAGTCGGCCTCGAGATGGCGGTAGTCGCACGATACTGTAACTCGCCTCCATTTGGTGGGCTCCTCGGCGAAGGTGACGAAGAACTTCTCGCGGTCCGACAGGTCGCGGAAGTGCATGCTGAGGTTGAGGATCCACTTTGCTTCGAGCTCCTCCTGCAACCGTACATCGTCGATATCTGAGCCTGAGTGATGGGAGCCGCGGTCCGAAAAGGCGTCTGCTACTTCCACTGGCGGGAGTTGTGGAGGGCCCTCGATCGTAGACATTTCGCCGGCCGACATGTAGTCTTCGGGTTCTTCAATGCCATAGTCGACCTGGCGCGCGCCTGCTGGTATGTTGGAGTCGGGACCGCCGCCAATGGTGCGCTCTATACTGGGAAATGACTCCATTTCTGGCAATGACTCCTTCTCTTTCTCGCTATGACTCTCGTGCGGACTCAGCACGTCTGGAGCGGACATGGATGGGACCGACATGGGCGGGGGCGAGGGGTTTCGCTTCGAGGGCACGGAGCTCTTGCGGTCTTCCGAGACAGCTCTTCGATGTTCCGTCTCGGGCACCTCGAGCAGCTTGTCTCTCTTCTCGCTCTGCATTCGCTTGAAGGTCAGGGGCCTCGGCAGACCTGGGATGACTTTCCTGCTGCCTCTCCGCCCCAGCAGTCCGCCGCTCGAATGCGGCCGCGTGATCTCCTTGCTGTCCTTGTTCTCTTTGCTCTCCTTGGTCACGCTCTCGGACATCCTGGGCTTGGTGGGCGAGGGCGGCGGCGTGTGCTCGTCCTTCTTCAGCCAGGAGCCGATCTTCTGGAAGTTGAGGCGGTCCCACATGCTCCTATGCTCGCCCACTTCGGTGCGCGCGCGCTGGCGGCTGCGACTCCTGCTCGAGTCGCCATTGTCGGCCGATAGCAGCGGCATCTCTTATCCCCCTCTGCCAGCCTTCGGGCGTGACGTTGGCGGGCGGGCGCGCTGCGGGGAGGTTCCTGGTCGGGGTGGTTCGATACGGGTCGACTGGATTGGTGCTATCGATTTGGCGCCGACTGCATGCTGTGTCGCGGTCCTGTGTAACGGTGGCTGTCTGCGTCCATGGATCTACGTGATGCTCCGTGCCACGCCACCTGCTCGCTGCGGATTCGAGGGCTGCAGATTCTGCACGACAATCTCCGTGCTAATGACGAAAATACCGCGGTCGTCTATTGTTGACGCCCAAGCGACATGCGCCCAAATGAGCAAACGGGCCGCAGGGCAATGCACGCGGATGTCGCTGGTGAGGCTCGGCGGGGGTCTGGTCAGGAGCAGGGCGGCGGCGAGGAGGCTGGCGGTGGTGTGCCAGAGGCGACGCGATGCAATGTGCGATGATGAGTCGTCCCAAGCAACATGGGATGAAGGCGACTGAGGCTGGGGGCGCGGAGCCAATGACAGCGCGCAGGCGGGCGAACGGTTGAACACCGCCTTAGCGTATCCCAGGCAAAGGCGCCAAATCACAATTCCAGAGGCGAACTGTCGGCACCTCACACACGCCTAAGCCTTCGGTCCCAGGTGGAAGACAGCAGACGGGGAAGAATCAAATAATGCAAAGGAGAAGTAAATTTTTGCAGCGCCCCCCTATGGTAGCCATGTATCTGCTGTACAGCTGGCGGTCAAGCGCCAACACCACATTGGACAGAAAAGGCCCTCTGCCTGCAGCGGCCGCAGCACCAAAATCCCGAATCTGGTCCTCTGCCTGTCAAATCAGGCGCGACGCCGCCCTGGGTCCCGCCGTGACATAGCACCGATCCCCTACCCATTGGCCGCTGCGAGTCTGTGGCAGCCACTCTAGCAGACCTGCGGTGAGAGTCACACCCATCTCACCGTCGCAGCTGGCATGCTCAACCACCACCCGCTGCCTCTCCGACCCTTGGGAACCGCCATATTAAATTCCTGCTCTTGCTCCCTTTGCTCTTCCCTGCCTCAGCCGCCGCCCCTCATCAATTTTCACATCACCATATAGCCAAAACCCCTCATTTGGGCCTGCGTACATTAGTCGACGCGTAGACGAGGGCAGCTACTGCACCTCATGGTACTTGCGGGAAGGTACTCCGTCGTCGCAACAGTACACGAACTGCCCCACTCACCTGCTCGCACAAGGCACCGCTCCGGCAAGCTTCGAGTAAAGCTGCTGCTGCACCTCGGGGCCATCATGCTCGCTAATGTATCTCCATCCCTGACCTGGGTTGTACTTCCGGCTGTCTTCCCAACAACTTGAAGCCGTCCATCATGACCATCAAGTATGAACAAAGGACCTGTCCCTTGCGCATCTTGTCATTCCCAAGCCCTGATCTGTAGTCCCTCACCCACTTCACCGGACCGCGCCATGCCGCCGCACATCACAGCCTCGAGGACACGCCCAAGGACAAGCAAAACCACCAAAACAAAAAGTGAAGCTTCCTCACCACCGAAACAGCAAAGTCTGACAACAACCTCAACTTTTCCCAACCCCTGACTATGATTCGTTCCCTCCAGTTCGCAGTGTGCGTTGTTCACGCTCCTGACAATATATACCAGGCAACGCCCGTTGACACGTCAATGTGGTTCATGCACCAGACGAAGGAGTCGAGGGCTAACGCACACGGGCTGCGCGTAAGGCGCTGAAACATCACCACATGCATTCTTTCTTGCTAGCCACAAACGCCACGAACAGCGTTGGCATTTTCTCCTCTTCTGTTAGTCGTGTTTTAGCCTGGTGTTTTTCCAGGTGGCTTCAGACATGTGGCAGTTGCGTCACAGACTACATAGTTCCTTCCATGGCCATGCCATGCAGGCGCAGAGTGAACCAGGCGTAACGCGGCACTTGCAAAATTCAGCCGTTGAAGCTGACGACGCACTATTGCTAATCGATTGCATAGTGTAGCCGTCACGAAAATGCCCGGCCCAAATATGCGCATGGCTTGCTGCGGCATCCCACGATCCCCCCTGTGACGCGTGGTGGGGTTCGTGCATGAGGGGTAACGAAAAACCACGAGGGCTAAGGGAGGGGTTGGGAAGCTGCAGCTTGGGTACGTAGCTACCATGCTGTCAGAAAACGGCTGAAACTCTGATTGATGAGCGTAAATGATGCTGCTTCCACAAGGTTCTATCTTTGGTGGGCTGAAGACATACCTGGGTATAGCATAGCTGTGTACGAAGACGGGAGTGGTAGCTAGGTACGGACCGCCCCGCTATCGGCAGCCTGTGAACGCGGAAGAGGGCAGAAGGGATCATGCTGGATATGCTTCCTTCTTATCAACCCGCATATTGTGGTTGACGTGAGATCATCCATTGGCATCATCGGAACCTCTTTCACTCACGCGCATGCTACGCATTAAACCGCACTATGAGAAGAGAGAATTGTTATCATTCATTACCAATGCAGTCGAATCGTTATGGCTCTATGGCCAATGCATATGCAAAAAACGCCCAAAATGCGCTGCGCTGCTGAGCACGCTATTCGCTTTATCGTACAAGTATTTCGTCCCAAGTGAGGCTCGCTCAGTCGTCGTCTTCACCAGACTCCTCTTCCTCCTCTTCCTTCTTCTTTTGCTCGCGCTTCTTGCGGTCGCCCTTCTTTCCCTTGAGCTCCTTCTCCCACATCTTGTTCGCCACGTCCTTGTCGAGATCTGGGAAGACAATGTCGAAGACTTCCTTGTACCATTGGACGGGGCGGCCTTCTATGCCCTCTTTGATGTTCTGTCATGTGTTAGCAGGCATTCTTGCTTGCATTGAGAGTAGGGAAACATACCTCAGGCAACTCAAGCCAATCGCTCATGTTGTCGTGTGGGAAGATGACCGTCTTTGCGCCCGCTCTCCGTGCAGCAACGGTCTTCTCACGTAGTCCACCAATCCTCAGCACCTTGCCGGTAAGAGTCAGCTCACCAGTCATGGCAACATCATCCCTGATCTTCCTGTCAAGTGCCAGACTGAGCATGCTGGTCGCCATGGTGATACCAGCGCTCGGTCCGTCCTTTGGTGTGCCGCCCTCGGGGCAGTGAAGGTGTATCCTGGCGTGTTCGAAGAACTTGTTCCTGGGGAACTCGCGGGCCATGATACTCTTGGCAAACGAGTAGGCTACACTGGTCGACTCCTTCATGACGTCCCGAAGCGATCCACTGCGTTCAAGACCGGGTGATGAGGATGCTGAGAGCGCGTTCTGCACTATCGATTCTATGTAGAGCGCTGAACCGCCCATCGACGTCCATGCCAGGCCCATGGCCACACCGGGTGGCGTAAAGTCGTACAGACGATCTGATGTGAAGATGGCGGGTCCGACGTAGTCCTTCAGGTTGTCCTTGGTGATGGAGACGTGCACCGAGTCTGGGATCTTGAGCGCGACGCGAGGCTTCTCGGTGGTCTGCTCCTCAATGTTTTCCGGTGTCTCCTTGAGATCGCTCTTGTCCTTGTCTGACTCCTTTTGCGCAGCCTTGCCCTCTTCAGTGAGCGCTGCAGCCTCGGGGAGAGCATCTTCGCCTACATCGGTAACAATTTTTAGCGCTGACTTGCGGTACACCTTCTCGATGTGCTTCTTCAGATTTCGAACACCAGACTCGCGACAGTACTTGTTGATGAGCTCAACAATCGCATCGCTCTCGAGAACGACATCGGCGTCCTTCAGCCCACTCATCTCCTTAGCTGCGGGAGACAGGTACTTCTCAGCAATGGCGATCTTCTCGTCTGAAACGTAGCCTGACAGTCGAATCACTTCCATACGGTCGAGCAATGGTTGCGGGATCGTCTCATCCATGTTGGCTGTGCACACGAACAGAACCTTTGAAAGATCGACAGGTACATCCAGGTAGTGGTCCAAGAAGCTGTTGTTCTGCTCTGGGTCCAGCAGCTCGAGAAGTGCTGATGCTGGATCGCCGTGGTTGCTGTTGCGTCCGATCTTGTCGACTTCGTCAATGAGAACAAGGGGGTTCTCTGTTTGACATTTCTTAAGCGCTTGGATGATGCGTCCTGGTAGCGCACCAACGTATGTCCTTCGATGACCCTTGATCTCTGCTACGTCGTACATACCACCGACACTGAAACGGTAGTACTGACGGTTCAGAGCGCGAGCAATCGACTTTCCAATCGACGTCTTACCCACACCGGGTGGACCGACCAAACACAGAATCTTTCCTTCCACTGTGCCGCGCAATTTACCGACAGCGATGAACTCCAGAATGCGGTCCTTGACATCTTTCAGTCCGTGATGATCCTCGTCCAAGACCTCTCGCGCATGTTGGATACCGAAGTTTTCGGCGCTGCGCAGACCCCAGGGTAGCTGTGTGAGCCAGTCAAGGTAGTTTCGAGTGACGTTGAACTCGGAACCGTTAGGCTCAAGACCCTGTAGCTTGCTCATCTCCTCTTCGAAGACCTTGCGCACGGCTTCGGGCATAGCCAGCTTGTTAGCCTTTTCGTTGAACTTTTCGATGAGCTTGTCCTTTCCGTCCGACTCGATACCGAGCTCGCGCTTGATACCCTTCATCTGCTCCATCAACATGTACTCGCGGTGCTTCTTGGTGACTCTGGCATTAACATCGTCGGCAACCTTCTTTTGCAATTCCGCGCTAATAAGCTCCTTCTTGAGCACTTCCAAGGCCTTGCTGAGACGCTTCTCAATGTCCATCTCTTCAAGCGCATCCTGCAGTTCATGCGACTCGGCTTGTGCTACGGCGGCGGCGAAATCAGCGAGTTTGACAGGGTCTTCCCCAACGTTCATGGTGGTATGGACAGAGAAGGTCGAGACGTGGTCGCGGAACAGCGGATTGAGCAGTGCTACTCCCTTGAAGGTGTTGACAATCTCGTTGACCAGCACCTGGATTGTCTTGTTGCTCTTCAGATCGAATGGCTCTTCAACCATATTCTCAACATCGGCAATGCTGACATTGCGACCCTTGAGGATGGTGGGTACGAGCGCTCCCTGGGCCGCCTTGGCCTCTTCTGTTGCCTCCTCGAAGCTAGCGACGACATCGCCCTTGGATTGTGTTGCGCCTGCCTCCGACTCGGGGGTATCCGCACTCTCGCTCAGTGTGCTTTCAGCCACAGATGACTCCTCCTTCGCTTGCGGTGGCGACTTGAGACCAGTCATCTTTATGCGACGGTGCGGGTAGAGGACGCAGGTCATGGCGAAGTTGTCATCGGCGCCCACGGGGAATGCGCTTGTGACCTGACAGAATGTGCCTACATCGTACACCTCGCTGGGATCGTGGATGACGTCCTTGTCGGCACCATCGTCCTTGAACATGAATGCACCAATGTAGGGCTGTCCTCGCTTGACCATGTCCGCAATCGCCTGTCCAACCTCTCTATCTCTAATTGTGATGGCCTTGTAGAATCCCGGGAACAGCGGACGCTTGACGAGCGGTATCGCCATGACTTGCGGGTAGACATCGGGTATCGAAGGCTTGACGAGGGCTCTTTCGGCACCCTTTCGCTTCTTGCCACCGCCGTCGCCGCCTGAACCGCTTCCTCCTGCTGCGCTGCCTCGCCCAGAACTCGCCTTTGGTGGTATTGGCCCAGGCGCATCGCTCTTGCCCTCGAGCTCTTCTGCTCTTTTCTGCTCCTTCAGCTTCTTGGACTCTTCTGTTTCTTCCTCCTTGGCCTCCTCCAGCGGCTCTGGTGGCGCCTTTGTATCATCTTCCTTCCGTCTACCCAACGTTGTGGAGAAGCTGCGGTATGCGAAGAGCGCCGCGGGCGGCGAGGAACATCGGTGATGTTGCCGTGCAACCAGCGATGCCGTGCATTGTGCGGGGAGATGGCGCGACGAGGCTCTAGTGGTGATAGTCCTCGCATTCGATCGTGAAGCCTGACGAAGGGCCGCCCGCCACGGCAAGTTCTGTCCGTGGAACATGATGAAATGGCGTTATGTCGGCGTGGGTGGTGGTAATACTATACAAAGAATGAAAAGAGTGCACGTGAGGATACGTGGCACTCGTTGTATGACCGGGAAATCTAAGAAGAGGGTTGGGTGGGGTGCAATGAAGGTTGACAGGTTGTAGTGGCGGCGTGTGAATTGCTCAGCATCCTTCCGAATCTCGACATCATCACCGCCCAAGCTCCTCCGATAGCCCCGATGGCAAAACCTCGGCAACACGCGACACTGCCAATCCGCCTCCAACCACCGCCTTTCTTTCGATTACTGCTCGATTCTGGCACCTCAATCCATCTCAACCCTTTCTCCTTCCAATCTACTTCACGTCGCTTGTTCGCAGTCACTTTACCATCTATCGTCAGGCTCCGATCTCGGCTTCTCTTCCAAGGTTCATGCTCGCCGTTTACGTTTCCAGTCTTGTAGAACATCATCGAATCCGATCGAAAGCAGGCAGACCGACCGCTCGATCTTGCTTATACATCACATGCGCCTAGTAATCTGGATGCGCGTTCTTGCCGCAATGCGGGAGAGACGCGTATCTGGGCATATCGACTCTTAACTCCGTTGTAGGGCGCAATCTCGTTCTAGGATGCGAATGCACATCGTGCTTGTTACAGTGTTCCTAGATATGCCCCGAATATATACCCCGAAAGCGAATCTGCATAGAAGCGTGCCCACAGCAAGTCTCAATGCGCGTAGGCGATGCTTCCTCAAGGGCGCTATGGACGTGGCTACACGCGTGGGTCATGTTACCGGGCCACGTTGAGACCCCAGCCATCGCGCATCTCATCGCGCGATCACGTGAGGCCGTTTTCGAGAGTTAGTCGTGTCGCATTCTGCAGCATACAAAGCGTTGTAGCTCACTCACTGAAAGAAGAATGCTTTACGTATACTTCGACTGGGAGTATGTAACATTTCCTGCAAAGCATAGATTTCTTGTAGGCGTCTGACGGGGCACCAATCCAGCTGATCCCGGTGCTGTCCCATGAAGCCACGACGGAGTGACGATATGGAGAAGATCCACCAGTTCCCTCTTGGCCTTTGCTCAAGTCACGTCAATTAGCGGGCGATCTTCCCACGCCAGTGGTAGGTTCCACGATATGGTCACGCTAACGTCATCGCGTTCCACACATTTCAACGGCATGATGTCCGCCCAGTGCCGAACGCTTGTCACAAGGCCAGCAAACGACGGCTCTAGTACTATGAGATCACTCCGGATCTCATCATACCGCTATACTTTACCAATGCAATAGCCCTCAGTTTGCTCGACCTCCACAGCGGTTCTAACCTTCACTCACCTCACGATCGGCTAGTGTTTTGAAAGCGACATCACCATGTCACATCATTCGTCGCTCAATGACAACACGGGTACGCCTTCAAAGTGAACCACCCTAATTGCATGTTCACTAATCCATGATAGAAAGTGCATCTCTACCTCGACGCAAGAAGGAAGTACAAACCCGCATGAAAGATGGCAAAGAGGTCGAACTCCACACTTGGGACGGTCCACAAGATCCTGACAACCCGTATGTTCCTCGAGACTCCACCTGAACTCAATTGCTGATGGAAACCAGGTTCAACTGGTCAACCAAGTACAAATGGTTCTTGACAATAACCGTTTGCTTCATCTCCATCTTGACAGGTCTTCCGGCTGGGTCTTACGGCGCTGGAAACGAGTACATGGCAACACTATTCAACGTTCAAAATGAGCCGTTTCCAAACCTTTACTGGGCGACGTGTTCGTGGAATATGGGTGCTGCTATTTTCCCACTACTATTCGTACCTTTGACCGAAAACACTGGTAGAATGCCTGGATATTTTGTAGGTTTGTGTGGCCGCATAGCCCATCAAATCGCTAACCCCTGCGCAGGTCGCCTACATCGTGTTCGAATTGTTCCTGTTCGGCTCAGCCTTTGCCGATAACTTCGCAACATTGGTCGTCACCCGTTTCTTCGGCGGTGGCGCATCTTCCGTTTCCATCAACATCGTGGGCGGCAGCATTAGCGATGTATGGAAAGGTGACAAAGCTCGGAGTCTGCCAATGTCCATTTTCGGCTTCACGTCCGTAGCTGGTATTGCTCTTGGACCCTTCGTGGGTAGCGCAATCGTACAGCTTGGCTATCCTTCCACTGGACTACAATCCCCTTGGCGATGGTAACTTAGGGTTCGGTTGGGCGGGCAGTCTACTGGGCTTTGTAGGACTAGCGTTGAGTCTTGTGCCTGTGGTGCTACTCCTGAAAGGGCGTCAGATCAGGGCAAAGAGTCCTTTTATGTCAGAAGCCACATTCGACGATAGGGATGACGACGAAGAAGTGAATGATGGCAAGAATGGTGCGAGTCATCGAGGTACATTTGGACCAGCGGGCGTCGCAGGTGGGCCACCTGGCGCAGTGGACGAGCATGTCTAGATGGCACACGAGGTCATGCAATATGGGTGGTAGGTAGTTAAAAGGTCTCCTTGAGTATTCTATAGATCATTACCTCATTTGCCACAGGTGTGCCGTCTGAACACCTTCCGCCTGAGATCTTTCTCTACAATGTGCAATCGGGCGATCGCTTCGCAGACCTCAACTGAGAGAGTTGAGGGCTATATCGTACTATTATCTAACGCAAAGCTAAACGCGGAGACCATGTATTCACCAGCAGAGTGGATGTTGCGAGAAAGGGTCCGGTCAAAGCGCGCTGTCGCAGGCAACTCAAGCGCTAGTCCTGGAGTGGGCTGCACCTTGCGTATAACGTCTACGGCGAGAGTATTAAAGGGACTTCTCTTGTTCTTCCACCACCACTTGTACGCTCCTGGGTACTTCGTATACATCGTCTAGTTCATCAGACGCTCTGTTGTAGCTCCCGCGCACCTCTACCGTTGGCGGCCAAAGCGACTGTTATTGTACTACTTCACGAAGCCATCCCATCACCACATTAACTTCGCCGGAATATCACATACCTACGACATGGCGCATCCACCCCAAGGACTACTAAGCCTCCCGAATGAGCTTCTCCGCGATGTCGTTGCGCCCCTCAGTCCAGCCGACCTCCGCCACCTGCGTGAAGTCAACCACCGAGCCCTCGACTTTATCCTCGACTATTCTCGACCATGTTTCACTGGACTCGCCGAGCTACCAAACGTGCTTATTTTGGATGTTGTCGCGCATTTGACCGACAGGGATCGAAGCCGACTTGCACGGACGAACTTTCGATTCTACTCCCTGATTATGGACGCTATCCTGGACAAAGAGGTGCGGACACAGGGGGTCAAGCTACTCGAGTTAGCATTGAGGACAGGAAGCAAGGGCTTGATGAGACGACTCCTACTCAAGGGTACGGATGTGGATAGACAGTTTTGCCATGGCTGGGGTTACTATCTCAGTGACAGCTGTTACTTGGCAAGTTCACATGCCACAACACCTCTGACATCCGCTGCGTACCACAGCGACGTAAAGATGGTCGAACTACTCCTACAGTTCGGTGCAAACGTGCACGCACTTTCCAACTACTGGATCCATGAGGGATACAGAATGGGTATACGGTCGGCCACACCACTATCATTTGCAGCATATCTTGGAAACAGACGCATAGCTGAACTGCTCATAGAAGCGGGAGCGAGTCCGATAATCGAGGGTAGGTCTGAGATGCTCTCTATAGCTATGAATAGACGACACGAGCCCATCGTTTCATTGCTTTTACAAGCCCTAGACTCTGCAAAACAGCTTAGCGCGTCAGTCATAAGAGAGCTCATCCAAATGGCTTCCGGACAACACTTTCGATCCCTTTCCACAAACGTAATCACACAACACGAGCACGTCATCCTACGGCATCTACCCCCTGCATCAGTCGACAAAATTCAAGTTCCAGAATATATCCTTGCAGAATTCATAAAGTGCGCTGCAACTGGAAAGCTCGCTATGGTTGTCAGTCATCTTCTACAAATCAGAGGACGACTACAACTCCAGAAAACAAGCTACCTCGACGCAGCACTACAAAGCGTCATCTCGCTCGACGCCCGTAAAGAAGACGTCCTCAAGAGGGAGCTGCATCAAGACGTCTTTCAGATTGTTCAAGCATTGCTAGCCCATGGTGCAGACCCCGATTCTGTCGCCCAGGGAAAGTCTGCTCGAGACATCGCGACAGCTCATCCGGACCCTAGAGTGAGGAATCGACTAGCGAGAACAGTACACCCAAGCCGGCCTACGAAAGAGCTGCCTTCGCTGATCGGACGGTCATTAACCACTCCGTCGCAAGCTTCGTCAACGCATCGTCGTCCACAACGGGGTCAACCCTTAGCGAGCTTATGGGATTTTGTAGGCCCCCATAATCAGCAAAGTCCACATAGAGGTCACAAGAGCGGCAAGACTAGCATCTCAGAGAGCAAGGGCGTTGTCACAAGTGGTGATAGAACCCAGGATACCACAATGTCAGCTTCAACAACTCGAGCTATCATTTCTGAAGATCAAGCAAAGCTACAAACAGACGCAGCTTCGCCTCCGCGTTTACACCCACAGCATACTGACTCAGCGTTGGACTCAATTGTCCCAACACAAAGCGCATGGGTCAACACTTCCTCGAACATTCTTTCCGCCCCTACCGCTGAGGAAAAGGTCTCAATGGAAAAGCCCATCATTCGTCCCAAGCCAACAACAAGGATGCTTAATCCTCATGGGCACAAGATTGAGATGCCCTTCGGATACCAAAGAAGCAAAGACACGTCATCAAGGAAGAAGTGAGTGAAAGAGTGCATAAGATAGGTCCTCACTTGATCTCTGAATGGCTAGGGAATATGTCTGGTTTCATTCGAGGCTGGACAGGAGATGAAGCAACACAGAAAGGGAAGCCATGGTAGACACGAAAACAGAGACAATGAAGCAGATGCTGTGAGCGATTCTTGTATCTATTCTAAACACTACATATTCAAACATGTTCTAATACCCGTGCATGTCCAGATGCACACCAATGGGTACAACCCGGGGGAGATCGTTCAGTCAACTCAGAACGCAACAGCCTTCATACCGCGCTTGACGGGCATATTGGCGATCTCGTCGCGGCGACGAGATGAGGTGAGGAAACCAGCAGGATACTCGACAACGGCGTCGCCGGACTCTGCGGCTGGTGCCGGTGCTGCGGGGTCGTCGTTCTGCTCTTCAGCAGCGACGGGCTCGGCGTCGGCGGCTTCGTCTTGCTTGTCTCCCTCATCCTTCTTGTCGTCCTCTTGGGCGGCGTCTTCCTTGTCGTCTGCTTCAGCTCCGTCTTGCTGCTTGGCTTCGCCCTCCTGTGCCTTCTTGTCCTCTTCCTCTTGCTTCTTCTTGTCCTCTTCGGCGGCTTTGGCGTCTTCGTTGGCTTGCTTCTTCTCTTCCTCAGCGGCCTTCTTGTCAGCTTCTTCCTGCTTCTTCTTCTCTTCCTCAGCAGCTTTAGCGTCAGCCTTCTCCTTAGCCTTAGCGTCTTCAGCCGCCTTCTTCTCTTCTTCAGCCGCCTTCTTCTCTTCTTCAGCCGCCTTCTTCTCTTCTTCAGCCGCCTTCTTCTCCTCTTCCTTAGCAGCCTTGTCGGCCTCTTCCTTAGCCTTCTTGTCTGCCTCCTCTTGCGCCTTCTTCTCTTCCTCGGCGGCCTTCTTGTCGGCCTCCTCTTGTTGCTTTGCCATCTCCTCAGCGGCCTTCTTCTCTTCTTCAGCCTTCTTCTGCTCCTCTTCCATCTTCTTCTGCTCCTCCTCAGCTGCGCCCGGTGCCTCGGTGGCCGCAGGCTCAGCAGCAGTCTCGGTGGCGGAAACAGTCATGTTGGCAGAAGCAGTTGCGTTTGCAGCCTCACCCATTACCAAAGAGAAGCTCTCAGTGACCATGGGTGCAGGTGGTGCAGCGTGGGTCATGGACATGTTACCGGCGGCAGGGGCTTCAGGAACGACAGTGACGGCAGCGGGAGGAGGCATAGTGTGCTCTGGTGCGGCCTGAGTCTCCTGAGGCGGCATCTCAGCTGGTGAAGGCATCTCGGCAGCAGGTGGTGGTGGCATCATGGTATGCTCGGGTGCTGCTTGGGTCTCGTGTGCAGGCATCTCGGCTGGTGGAGGCATCTCAGCGGGCATCTCAGCAGGTGGCGGTGGCATCTCAGCAGGAGGCATCTCAGCCGGTGGTGCAGGCATTTCCGCAGGTGGTGGTGGTGGCATCTCAGCCGCAGGAGGTGCCATGGGGTGTTCAGTGACCATAGGAGCTGGGGGCTGCTCGACCATAGCCGTGGTCATCGGTGCAACAGTCTCGTGAGTGATGGCCTCGGCTGTAGTTGTTGCTGCAACTTCCTCAGTGGTAGTGGCTGCGGCTGAGATACTGGCCATCTCCTGAGATACGTGCATGGCCTCCATAGCATCCGCAGAAGACTTGTGAGCGGCATCCTTGGCCTTCTCAGACGCGGCGTGCATGGACTCCATAGCATCTGCAGAGGCCTTGTGAGCGGCGTCCTTGGCCATCTCGGAGGCCACGTGCATAGCTTCCATAGCAGCGGCAGATTCTTGGTGAGCCTTCTCCTCTGCCTCCGCTTTCGCTTGGTGTTCGGCCTCCATCTTCGCCGCAGCTTCCTGATGAGCCTTCTCCTCTGCTTCAGCCTTGGCTTGGTGTTCGGCCTCCATCTTTGCAGCAGCTTCCTGGTGCGCCTTGTCCTTGGCTTCCGCCTCTGCTACGTGCATGGACTCCATAGCGTCGGCGGCTGCCTTAGCAGGGTCAACTGCTGGAGCGGGCGCAGCCTCGCCCATGTGTTCGGTACGCGCCACAACCCTCGACGGGATGTCGACATTCCTTGGAAGAGGGCCAGCGGCGACAGCGGCCGCTGAAAGGAGGGTGAGAAGGGGGTATATCGTCTTCATTATGGGTGATTTGGGTGAATCGAAAAGGACAGGAATGAAACTTGAGTCTTCGTTATTACGACGAGAAAAGAGAGAATGAAGAGCTCAGCTCAATAAAATTAAACACTAGTGCACGGCACTTTGAAGAAAAGAAGGTAGGTGTTTGAAGAAGACTTGATGTGAGAGTGGGCAGAACTTATGAGGCTCGGGGTTTCGCGATATATGTACCTTGCCCGGTTCCTTCGGCATGGAAGAGACTCAGGACCTACCCCTAGAAGCAAACAGATCATCTGGAGCAGTTCCACACTTGGTAGTGTTTGATGGATTCCCGGCATCGTTTTCGCCATGTCGAGGATGCCTTGAGGCGGTTAGGCGCCTAGGCAGGGTGACGACGACGCTGTTCCCCCACCCGTCTCGAACACTTACAGCTGCCTCTCCACTGTGTAGACAGCATTGACAGTGCTTGGCATGGACGTTACCGGGCCTAATCCATGTTCGCGATGAGGCGCACGCCGCGATCGACCAATCAGATGCGTACCTGACGAGGAAGAGGCAGAGAAGCCCGGATCCGCTCGCCAAAGTCTTGGCCTGACA